TTAAGGAGTGATACCTTAAGTTAAGGAGTGAATGTTCCCCCTTCTTTTACACCTCTTGACCTTTGACCCCCAGCTTCGACATCCCAACTCGTTTTGACGATCCCCCCCAATGTGCCGAATATCGTGACCGTACGTCGAGCGGTTAAGATTTGTGCCCAACTGTTGACGGACGGACGGACGGACAATCATGCGATTCTACAAGCTGCATCTGACTATGTCAGATGAGCTAAAAACACATGTTTTGTGTATGTGGATTTACAAATTTAAAAAATAAAAAGACGTTTTAGATTAAACTGCTAAATAAGATAAAATAATGGTAATTGTAAAAAATGTACAGTCAAATGTGAAAATGAGATAAATATCTGCTTTAAAATTGCAAATTCTAATCTCCATTTTAACTGTGAATGGGTTTGGATAGGACCCAAATTTGGCCCAAATAAAACTCCGAACATTGTTTTTTTTTTAAAAGGTGTCGAGACCGTTTTGTTACGACATGAAGCTGACAGGTCGAAAGCAAATTCGGAGTTTGTGACTCCAGATCATGACCCCTGTTGCCACTAGGAATGCTATCTTTACCTTCTCCACTCTCCGGCTGACTCATATCTGAAACTTTCTCTGCCGTGTGTTATTAGACGTTTGTATGCCACTCCTTCTCTCGTGTATTCTGTCCCACTACTACCGCGTCAACCCGCCTGACTGTAAGGACGTCTTTTAAAGCTGTAGCGAAAGGAAAAACAGAAATATGCAGTCTACATGTATATATATGATAGCTGATATCACACCTTTAATTGTTGCGATGAGACCACGCAAGAACTGAGGATCAGAGATGTGATCTGAAGCCATAGCAGCCATCTTCTAAAGCAGCTCAGCTTCCAGCAAATGTTGCCTGCAACCAAGGTCAGGGCATGCATGGCAAAAACATTCTACACATGATTCATTAATAGAACCAATTAGCAGTGTCATAAAACCCTCGTCTGGATACGACAGTTAAAGACTGCATCAAAACTAAACAGCCTTGTCAAAAATAAAGAGCTGCATCAATAATGTGATTAGGTGTATGTAAAGCACTGCTAAAGCAAGAACAGCATATTGAGAGGAAGATTCTGCATTAAAAATCCCATCAGTAGCATCAACGCTAAGACTAAAAGCTGTACATACAATTAATCGGTTATTAAAACTAGAACTAAACAGCTGTGTCTGAAATCTGCTGAACGTCCAGCATCCAAACCAAAATTAAGGAATGTATGTATACTGTACCATTTGTATGCATGTTACATAACACCTTACTACCACATTAGTCCTGCTGAGAAGGTCTATGTCTCCCTGGATACTGCCGGAACGTACTCTGGTAACTATCTGATATGGTTAGGGTTAGGGTTAGGGAGTAGGCATAGGCGACTCCCCTAAGACTCGTTAGATATTCTACTATACTTGTACTCGGCATATTAGATATAGTTACCAGGGTACGTTCCGGTATACCGGACCGTACCCAGGGTACGTTCTGGCAGTACCCACTCCAGGGAAAGATAGACCCTCTCAGCATTCTTCCTAGTCTAGCCACAAAAGCGCTACATGTATGCTCTTATACATAGACATTTTCCAGTACATACAGTTTCTGTGCATGTACTAGAATACGAACATGATGTATGTGTACTGATGTGTTTACCGGTAAATGCCGCAATCTGAAAATGTACATGTAGGTAATAACAATCGTGGCTAAACATTAGATCATACGTATACATGTAGGCCTACATCAGGGGTTAATAATCACAAATTTGTCATTTTGTAATTTGTCATTATTAATCCCTGGCTAATGTAGCTACATAGTACTACTGCTGATAGGGTCTATGTCCCCCAGGGTACTATCGGAGGGTACTCTGGGTACGGTTCGATATATCGGAAAGTACCTCGGGGTAAGAAACAAGAAAAATATAGTAAAACATAGCATACATTTTTATTGGATTGCGATGTTTTGAGGTTTCTTCTATGTGATGTGGTAACTTGACAGAGTGTATGTATTACGACATCAGTTGGCTGAATGTCAGGGTACGGTGGGACAATGCAGGGTACGCAGCGACGTATCGTATGCCCCGAGGTACTTTCCGATATATCGAACCGTACCCAGGGTACGCTCCAATAGTGTCCGGGGGACATAGCTAGACCCTATCAGCAGTACTACCAAGGCTCATAGGGTCTATGTCCCCCAGGGTACTGCCGGAACGTACACTGGATACGGTCCGGTATACCGGAACGTACCCTGGTCACTATTTGATATGGTTAGGGTTAGGATTAGGGTTAGGATTAGGGTTAGGGTTAGGTTTAGGGTTAGGGAGTAGGCGACTCCCTAGACTCTTTAGTAGAGTAGGCAAGGTACCGGTACGGTTCGCCATATTAGATAGTACCAGGGTACGTTCCAGTATATCGTACCGTACCCAGGGTACGTTCCGGCAGTACGCAAGGGGACATAGACCCTCTCAGCACTACTAAGCTGCCCCTGAGGTATACATGGGAAAAAATTGCCACGATAATTGGACTGATAATGCGTGTATACCGGTAGCACTTTAATATTAATATTAAATAACGTACAGGTTTCTTGCTTCCATACAGTAAGCCTACTACTACGAACTCACATTAGATAAGTTCACACACACTAAGTCACAGTAAGTGTGTGTGACACAGTCACACGCAGTCACACAGTCAAAGTGACACAGTTACACACACACGGGCGCACCCTAACCCTAACCCTAACCCTAACCCTAAACATACCTCATATAAAAATATAAACATAATACTAAACAACCTAAAACTACCTCGGGTACATATCTGTAGTACCTGATACGACAACGACCCCATCTACCACAGTGTCACTGGCACTGGTGCATTTTTCATCGACATTGAAAGTGCCATTCCTTGAAAACAGGGCGAGTCAGCAAAAAAAAACACGTCGATACTTATCTATAATAAACGTGCTTGAGTATAATGATCACAACTAATATACCCATCACTAATGACTTTAAACCATATAATTTTACAGTTTTCATAACAAAGCATACCAGCGGCAGCACAGCTAGAAATATCAACGATGATAGAACTCTCTATTCTCATGATATTTCTCACTATTTCATAGACTAGCAACAAAGGTCCTTCGACTCACGCTGCCCGAGTGCACATCCGCTACAAAATTTTCGTTCTTCACAACGACGTAGAAGCAGTCTACGGTTTTGCGAATAAACCACCATAAATATGCTACTGCTCACTAGAGGGCGTCTAGCGCCGAGGAAACCTAATAATAAATACAAAATTAAGAAATATATACACAAATCACGAGTAGTACAGTAGGATATTTAGTTACTGTACTGGTACAGCTACTTACGTTAGCTGTAGTTGGGAGTAATTGAGATCACGCGGTCACAGACTAATATTCATTCCATTGAAGTCTGAGTTTGAGTCTGTGACAAAATCGCCAAACGAAGCAGGTGACGTCATATCTCGAATGACGTCACGATTTCGGCTGGGAAATCTCATCATAGATATATACAACACATATGTGTGTATACATGTGTATATACATGTGTTGTATATATCTATGATCTCATAGATAATTATAGGATACAGATATCGTCTATAGTATTATATATCTATGGAAATCCCTAACCGACGAAGTGTATTAGACAGACTGGCTGTCAAGTACTGCTCCAATGAAACGGTTTGATGGGGAAACGGATTTTCTGGAATCTTAATTCCTTATCAAACACACCCTACTCTCAGTGACTAAGTATATAGCACATGATCAAATAATACGACACAGTATTTCTGTATGAAACTATATATTCTTTCTATGCATCTACAACATAAAATAGAGTTTATTAAACTAATGAATAATCAATTATCCAATAATCAATTAGCCTTCATTAATCAATCAATTTTCAACCAACTGATAATCTTGGCGTCATATATGATAACCACATAAATAGCTGGCTACTAGTAGTCTTCAAACGTCTAAGGAACTATAACGAAGACGGAGAGACAAGTTGATCAAATCGATAGATCAATACTGCGGATTGCAGTAGTGGAAAAGAGCTGCACATATGATGATATGATGTAAAGGCGCGTACCTAGCTGTCACAACACCGTGCGTGTGACTTTAGTCAGCATACGTGTCAGCTGTTTCCTATATAGCAAACAGGAAACTGGGTCTAAGTGGGCGTTATTATGCATACGACAGGACACATTAGAACGTCTAGTAGCTGCTTCTCGGCTTCAAGCACCACGGTGGCATATCAAACGATTTTCGCTGTACCGATTGAGCTGATGTTTGGATGACTGTGGTTTAGAAAAATTCGCCCGCCCATTTGTGAGCAAGGCCTTCACTGTCAGCAAGCTCGTCACGGGTAACCATCCCGATAACTACCAAGCTTGTCTGGGCTACCGTGACGTTAAGCTCATCCGTAAAGCATGTATGCTCGCGTTACCGCTCTACCTGCTCGGTTACAACATGCCTACATGCACGCACGCGCACAAACAGACACACAGTGTCACACACGCACGCATGCATGCACGCACGCGCACAAACGCACACACACCGGCGCACGCACACACACGCGCGCACGCACACACGCACACACGCGACGCGCGCACACACACACACACACACACACACACACACACACACACACACACAACAAACAAACAAACAAACAAACAATAGAAACGCGCCGCGCATGACACACACACACATACACAAACACACACACACACACAGCACACACAGCACGAACACAACAAACAGCACACACACACACACACACACACTGCACGCACGCGACGCACGCACGCACCCATCACGGGCGCACACATGCGTAATCTTTTATCGCAGGAAACCTTCCTGTTACAGCGGCGATCCAGTCGGCACGGCACACACTCGAACATTATCCTACTTGCACATAGTAATTCCGAATCGGTGAGCCGCGTATCTCTGACGGCACACTTAAACAACAATATGTGACACCGGACACACGGCGAAGGGCTGGCTCTGGGGCTATACTTTCAGTCCCATTTCACTTATATGTGGTTTTCAGTGTAGTGTGTGTGTGTGTTGTGTGTGTTGTGTGTGTGTGTGTGTGTGTGTGTGGGGGGGGTGTGTTGCGTGGTGTGTGTGTGTGTGTGTGTGTGTGTGTGTGTGTTGTGTGTGTGTGTGTGGTGTGTGTGTGTACGTGTTGTACCGTGTGTGTGGTGTGTGTGTATGTGTGTGTGTGCGCGCGTGCGTCGGTGCGTGCGTGCGTGGCGTGTCGTGCGTGCGTGCGTGCGTGCGTGCGTGCGTGGCATATGTATGTATGTGGTTCGGGAATGATGGGGATCGGCAGAGGGGCATAACGAATGGTGAGCTTACACTACCGACGCGACATTATACGCGATTCAAGTCGGCGGGCGGAATTTTACATTCTCGCTCTCAGTACGGGCGGGACTTCCCTCTTTACGCTAGCATCTACAGTGCGTATATCACTTCTTACTCCTCTCTCTCTCACACACACGCTCGCACGCTCGCACGCTCGCAGCCGTGTATACCTGAAGCAAGAAGCCTAGTCTATGCAGCTGCCTCCTGAACGCAGCAGGAGTGCCAAGGTTTCGACAAACACTGGCATCGTTGCGAAATGCCAGCTGATCGAGCGATATAGAGCACGCGCTGGTCACGCTGTCGCCTCGGCGCTGGCATGAACGCGGAGTCGAAACCCCCACGTAACTTGCTGCTAGCTGCCTACGTTACGGATATAACACACGTACGCTCTCCATCTACAACATCGGAGAATCTTGCTCACTACGAACACACGTACACACGCACGCACGTACGCACGCACGCAAGCCACCACGTACGCACACATATACACACCAGGCCGCACGCACGGCGCCACACACCACATACACAACACACAACGCGCGCGCACGACACACACACACACACACACACACACACCACCACACACCACACGCACGCACGCACGTCACGGACGCACACACACAACACACACATAGACACACACAACACACACACACACACACTAACACACACACACACCACACAAAACACACACACACACACACAACACACACACGTAACGCACGCACACGCAAAGCAGCACGTATACGCACACATATATATAAACACACACAACAACACACCAACACAACACACCACAACCACAACACAACAGCACGCACGCACGCACGCACGCAACGCACGCACGCCACGCACGCGACATGGGGCACTCTACACCATACTACACAGCAGGTGGCACACGCAGCACGTACACACGCACGCCCTTTTCCTAAGGCTGTACCCCGACGTCTCTGCACTGCGCCAAATTTTGCACTGATGTCCAATTATGTTCGTTTACACATCGCACGAAAACCGAGAAGTAAATACCGTTCTTCCACAAACCGACGTCGGGCTCGTTGGATTAACTATCCCGCGATAAATCCGCCAGTCGCTTTAAAACTGGCACGTCGACGTAACGGCTAGCTTATACTGTAGTTGATCTGTAGTCTGTACGCAATCACGTAATACACTCTCGCTGGAAAGAGCGCACACGCAGACGAAAATGCGATGACGACACGGGCACGATGGAAAACGCACATACGTACACTTCGGTGCCCGATGAAAATTAGCTAAGTGAAGTTGCGATAATTAACGCTGGTGAAATATAATTCACTGCTCAGCCAGCGGGAGCGGTGGAGTTGCAGGCGCCTGCCTCGATCTGCGCTGATGTGAAGCGCGCGCATGTGCAGCAGTAGCAGCAGCAGCAGCAGCAGCAGCAGCGCAGCCCACGCACCGGCGCGAGCCATCGTCCATCCAACGGTCAATATAATATCATGAGCTATAAACACCGTGTTTACTAGCTCTATAACGGTGTTTATTAGCTCTTGATAATATGTCATTCTATTCCTCGCCCGTGCTTTCTCTCTCTCACACATACACACGCGCACGCACGCACTCTCTCTATACTCTCTCTCTCTCTTCTCTCTCTCTCTCTCTCTCTCTTCTCTCTCTCTCTCTCTCTCTCTCTCTCTCTCTCTCTCTCTCTCGCTCGCTTGCTCGCTTCTGCTCTCTCTCTCTCTTTCTCTCTTCTCTCTCTCTCTCTCGATCTATCTCTCTGTCTCGCTCTCGCTCTCTCTCTCTCGCGCCTCTCTCCTCTCGCGCTCTCTCTCTTTCTCTCTTTCTCTCTCTCTTCTCTCTCTTCTCGCTCTCGCTCTCGCTCTCTCTCTCTTCTCTCTCTCTCTCTCTTCTCTCTCTCTCTCTCTCTTTCTGTTGCTCTCTCTCCCTCTGTCTCTCTCTCTCTCTCTCTCTCTCTCTCTCTCTCTCTCTCTCTCTCTCTCTCTCTCTCTCTCTCTCATCGCTTTCGCCTGCTTTCCTCTGACTTATCTCACCATGTCTCCCCGATATGTTTGACAACTACAGTGTTTCCTCCACGTTACGATAATCCCCCTCCTCCTCCATAACTTTCCCTCCATTCCTCTTCTTGGTGCTGAACAGCAATTAAGCAAAATGATTATTGCGTTGCTCAGCTACATCTCCCCCGCGCGCATGCGCCCACGCGTTCGTGCATGAACACATGCTGACGTATACATGAGCTATTCCCGTATTTTAGTCAGGCATCACATACAGCATACATTTATTACTGCAAACGTGGTTATGAATAAACGACGGCCATATTGATGTCGATGCTCGATCGATAGCTTCGCTGCGCATGCGCGGGATCGTGGGATCTGCTAGCAATAATATTGACACACAGTCGGGAAAGCACGTTAGCCGAAATATAGCGTGCTCCCTGCACGACCCGAATCCAGCAGTTACGTGCCGGAAGTAAATTAATGCAGATTTAAGTTTAATTAGATTTTAAGATTAATTAGTGACAGTTTCTATCGAGTTATTTCTGTCAGCCTCAGGTGACCTTGCACAAACCAATTCAGGTAAACACTGCCAATTCGATCTGATTTACCAAAATCCTTCTTTTTTCCCAAAATCAGGCAATGCCTGGCAAAAAGATTACGCGAGTTTTAGGATGATTGCCGTGAGTCTAGGCGAGTGAGTCGATATATTCCTGGCTCTGGGGGGGGGGTGTTCGTATACATGACTCTTTTAGAGCAAAA